AAATGGCAGTAGAGCTGTGATGTCGGCACCATTGTGTTCGTCATGATCGAGCTGGCACGACCTGTATCGTTCTCATATTCACTCTCCAATCGTAACAACTACCTATACAGCAGGGATTGGCAAATGGCGGGGTACACCCTTTGGGAGGTAATGAAGGTCTCTGGAAACCTCATCCCTCATCTCTTTAGCATTAGTGGCTCTCCTTATGGAACAGGTTTCTTGACTGGTCTGTTTCACCCCAGAATTCAAAGACCAGTCAAGGTAAAACCGAGCGCACCACAGTGAGCACAATTTGATAAGCTGGGTTATCTCAATTTTCATGTAGAACCTTTCACGTCTCACGTACCTAAAACCCTTTCGTGCACTCATGCAAAAGCAACTGCCATGTTTCAACAGCTGGTAATGGCATTTTCACAGCCGCTGACGTAAGAAGGGGAGGGGTGGGGGGCTCGATTAGACCCCCAGCCGTTCGGCCGCCGACCGAACTTAGTTTTGCAGAAAAAAACGAGTGCTATCGAACCCCTTGACGAGAGGGAGCCGATGCTATCCAATTATATGGTCTTGTGCTACTGCGTGCTTTTTTGGTCCTGCCTGTGATCTATCCGAACACTTCTCCCCACAAGTGCTGGGGTTAAATGGCATAGATTTCAAATGGTTCCTGTGGTAGAACTGCCATGCTTGAATTTGACTTATTAGGAATGGAAAATATCCATATAGTAACGGAAATCTATGGAATTTCAGTGAACTTGATTTTGTCGGCAATGGGGTCTGGCAGTGGGGTGGGGAGGTAATAACCCTGCCTGGCGCCCCAAAAAGGGGGGGCACGATCCCCGAGGCCCTGCCGATTACCTTATAACTACAGGCATCACAGCTCCACACCTTTTGCAGATGGCCAGGACCCCCTGCGATACATCCCAACAGCAATCTTATTCAGAATCTGCCTTGATTAACCAACGATGCATTAAATGCGACGGATAACTCTACAATGCATTATTATCAACAACTGAACGGGCCTCGCCGACAGGGGGGTACTGTACCCCCCTAACTTTCGATAGCGGGGGACCTGTCCCCCCCGTCCCCCCCGGTGGCGCCGCCCATGCCGGTTGCTATGGCGTACTTTGGGGAGGAGGCGGGTTGTTGCTAACCCCTCGAATGGTCCTGGTGACCTTGATGTGTGGTAGTTTCCGTTGGGTGTTCGGCTGGTCTGGGGATGTGGCGGATAGCGACAATGCGGTAACCCGACCTTTGAGAGCAAATGCTTTTTATTCGATTCAATAGTTGAAGCTTTCATGCATAGCGGATTCAAGAACTTTTGCATGTTCGTTTCCAAGTTCCAAACATACAACCGCTGGGTGTCTAATCATCGCTGTTTTATAAGACAACATTCGTAATAATACCCACATAATTCCTCTCCTCCCCGATAGAAATGTGCATACTTTTACAAACAGTACTTTTATATGCATAGCAAGAGGGACATGACAATATCATAATGCAATAAAACCGGATCTTGATTATCCTTGCATTAGATGTTGCACCGATTCATCGATGCCAGGACCTGAGCCTTCTGTTTTCTTTCTGGCTACGTCAAGGCTTTCATAATTTCATTGAGAGGTCATCCGCCAGCCCGCATACATTCAGCTGAGCGCCGTGACCCGCCGGGTACAGCCAGGCTCGCTCGGGCTCGGTCTCTGTTCGCTCGGTATTCGGTCGGGCCCCCAGTCTGCACGCGCCACGGTCTGATCAGGATGCGGCGCACGTTCTGGGCTCCCACAGCCCGATCGGAGGGCGGTGTCTGCCTCGGTGGAGACAGGAGAGTCGACCGCGGGTGGTTGGCAACCCGGCGATAGAAGCTGGGCGACGATTCTCTTGTGAGTGGGGGGGGGGGGGGGGGGATACGTCTTGAGAGGCTAGCCGGCGAGTTTTGCTGAGCTTGGGGCTGGGATCCTTTTGTACCTGGATGAGACACTTCTGTGCTCTGCAAAGGCTTGGTTAGTGTCTGATCCGCAGCTTGTTTGGGCCTGGGACGCTTGCTAACTGTATCGATTATACAGGCTCACTGTGTCACGAATTTACTGGATCTGGGACCGAGACTCTCCTTGACCCGATGTCGACACTTTTGGCTCGAGCGACGACTTAACCAGATCTGGGCGCGACTCTTTTGGGTAGCCCGGCGATTCGTTTCTACCCCCGGGCTGGGACTGTCCTGTGCTGGCCGGCAATCCTACCGGTGCCAGCCGCTGCCCGGCCCGATATGGTGCAGCTGCGTCTCGTGCAGCCTCTGAGGCGCGGTCAGACACGCCGTTCGGTGTCGCCGTGACCCGCTACGCCCGGTTCTCGGTACGGCCACACGTGCAGGGGCCGTGCTCAGCGCGGCCCGGCCTCTGCTCTCCGCTGCTGGAGGGGACTCCAATGCCGAGTACGGGAGCTGTGTTTGTATATGTGCAACTGATGTTATTACCAGTCATAAGTCGGTTGAAATTTGTGCTAATGTTGACATTTGGATAGCTTTGTGATGGTTAGGTTTGAGGGCTGTCTGTTAGGAACCGATGGTGGGCACTGTAAAAAATCGGTTCATGGGGTCCACAACAAATTTACATCCGGATTAATGCGCAAAATGCAAAAGACTGGAACGCAACACAGGACGGTATGCGAGAACAGGTTAATAATTGTCATCTGCCTTAATATAACACGAAATCTCTCCATAGCTTATGTGCTCCCTCACCCCCATCCCCAATGCGCCTAGTAAAGAATACCTCAGGATAAAGATGCGCGAACATACGCCGCTGACCTCATCACCCGCACCACCAGCCGGCGCTTATTGTCCGACCCTCCGACCTCACATGGTTTCTCGTCGGCCGGCTCCGCCACTGAAGAGATACATTGCCCTCGTTTGAAGTCCCGACCAACGAACCTCTCTCTAAGTGAGCGCCATTGCATGAGCCCTGCCACCCTTCCCCGCTGCTGCTGCTGCGGCGGCGGCGGCGGCGGCGGCGGCGGCGGCGGCGGCGGCGGCGGCGGCGGCGGCGGCGGCGGCGGCGGGGGTTTGTTTATTTGTGGTGGGCCTCTGAGGGACGATGGACGCTGCGGCGCCGGCGGCACCCCTCAGAACCTCAGTGACCCAGACGTGACGCCGTTACGACGAGCCGTCGCGGCGTGATACGATGACCCGTCACGGCGAGACAAGACGCCCCACGCGGCGCAATTAGGAGCGGCTGAAGATTGCCTCCCTGCGGGCGAAGGGGGAGGGGAGGGGAGTTCCAGCGCCTGGTAACTGCGGTCGCCATCCTCGATACGGGGCGACCCTGAGACTGGCAGATGACCTTGGCTGTCTGGATCAGCTGGGGGCGGGGTCGATAAGGTGGAAATGGGGGGGGGGGGGGTGGGGTGGGGTGCGAAGAAGACGCGTGGTGTCCATCCGTGACTGCTAAGGAGAAGTAACGACAAATATTTGCCGCGCGCTGTAATGTGTTGTCTTAGACATATTCACGAACTAGTAACTTAATTGGTACATAATAGTTGAGCCCATAAAGTAATAATAATTCACGGCCATAATTGCACTAGTTGCATTATTACGGAGCGAGCGAAGCGAGCGTAGTCTTTCCTTAGATTAACGGAAATTTCTGAGTATGAGCGGCCGGCCGGCCGGCCGGCCGGCCGGCCGTGGTCACGCTTTTGCGAGGCTTATATCTCAGCAACCACTTGACTGATTTACATGCGGTAATTTTTGTAGGGTAGCTTCATTCCTTCTACCAAGTATTGCACTATTCCCGATGCATGTGGGTGACCCCTTATGCACGTGCCACGTGCAAAACGAAGAGGTGTCACTTTTGTAATTGTTGCAATATCTCGGTAACTACTGGGCCGATTGCGCTGAGAGTTGGCATGTAGGTAGGCACCCACTAGGCAATGCATATCCATGTGCCAGAGTTGGGGTGCTGCTGCACGTGCGCACGTGCAGGGGTCGTTTCCAGATCTCGAGAACGGCTGGACCGATTGCGCTCAAATTTGGTACACGGTTACGGAGCAGTTAGTAGGGTGCCGTGCACAAGTCAGTTGGGACCCATTTTGCACGTGCGCACGTGCAGGGTGCCGCTTCCAGATCTCGAGAACGGCTGGGCCGATTGTGCTCAAATTTGGCACATCGCTAGAGACCGATTAGTAAGGTGCCGTGCACAAGTCAGTTGGAGGTACCCCCTCGCAATTTCGCACGTGCAAGGCCCACCCTCTCGCTCGCTCCGTTAGTCGCCGCAAAAGGCGTTATACTGGTGTACAAAATTGCCATGAATTATTTTTACGGAGCCATAAAGTCTGTTGTTTTACGTCTACCCATTTACCCGGGCCCCTATTTTTCGTTGTTTTCTGTCACATTTAGCTGACAGGCAGGTGACTCCCCAGTTGTTACGTCTATTGCGCCGCGCCACCGTGCGACATTTGGCCTCAAACGGAAACTGCACCGCGAATCTGCAAGTCACGATGACCGGTGACTCGCTGCAGAAATGCGGCAAAACTGAAAGATTTGGACGAACGACTGCCAAACGGGTGCTTGTCACTTCTCGTGCAGCGTTAGGGCTGCTCTACCCTGGCTCAACTCTGGCAATAATTTGTTGTTTTTGTCGGACTTCTTGGATCCATCTTTACCCCCTTCCTCAGCTGCGATCCAGTTTTCTGCATATTCCCATGTCGACACTAGATGTGTGACCGGCGCTAGTTCGAATCTTGGCGGACATAGAGGCTTTGTAAGTCTGATTACTTGTTTCGAAAACAGCGAGGTGCGATTGTCTCACTGACGTAAAAACATACCAATCCTGGAAGCGGCATGTATCCAACATGTGGTACGTTTATGTGCTGGTGTTTGAATGTTTAATTGTGCTAATCGGCGATGTGTCGTCATTTGTCTAGTGTTGATGTATCAATGCTAGTCTCTCCCCTCTCTCCATACACCGATTCGACCCCTCTCTTCTCTCCAAACACCCTCTAACGCCCTCTTTCTCTCTCCACAGACCCTCTGTCGGGATGGATGGAACAAAAGCTCCCTCCGTCGGGCGTCGGCTGGGACCTGCCGCTGCTGCCGGCCCAGGCTCTGGAGCAGGACATGCCGCTGCCCGCCGACGGTGGCTGCATCCCGGACGACCTGCAGGACGTCCTGCTGGACGGCCCTGACGCCGGCGCGGTGCCCTCGCTGCCGGCCGACGCGGCTGACTGCCTGCTGGAGGAGCTCATCTCTGGCTCGGTGCGCGAGAACCCGGGCCTGTTTGACGGCGTGCCGCCGGTAGGAGAGGTCGTCAAGCCGGTGGAGAGCGTGATGCCGCCACAGCCGCTGGTGGAGGAGATGGGGCAGATGGTGCCGCCGCTGCAGCAGCAGCAGCAGGGAGCGCTGGGGAGCCCGCAGCCGGTGCTGTTGGCCCCCGCGCCCATCGGGTTCAGTCTCAGTCCGCAGCAGCAGCCGCAGCAGGTGAGGAGACGGGCGGAACGGCGGGGTTAACACTGTAGAGCCGCTAGAAGGTCTCTTACACTGTAGAACACTGTTACAACACGTACTGCAACACTCGCTGCACTGAACACTGTTATACTGACTTACACCGTAGGCTGCTCGCACTGTAGAACCACTTAGAGGGTTCTTACACTATAGAACCACTTGAGCCCTTACACTGTAGAATCACTTTGAGGTTTCTTCTTCTACAGTTCATCACACTGCAAAAACAAAAGCATGTGTAAAGTTTACAGGTATTTATGTGCCAGCAACAATTCTTTTTCTGCCAAGGATAGACTGGCAGTGTGTTGGGATCCTTTACAAATGCAATGCAGGATGTACGCAACGGAGGATGCTAGCAATGAAACACAATAGCAAAGGAGACAGCGATATGAGCTATGCAGATTGCAGCACAATAACATTGGCACTTCGGCGACACAGTTTGGCCGGGCAGAGTCGAGCGGACCCCGGCACTATTGATACTGCTTGTTTGACTTGTTCAGCGGTCCGAACTTAAACAAACCAGCTCCGCAACATACGACTGTTGCCTCATATTCGTCGGCGAGGTCCAGGAGAAGTCTAGTTCACGAACGTTCCCACAGATAAAACCCGGGGAAACTTGCAGTAATCAGACATGCGTATTAGGTGCTAATTCATTCTGATTTCTTTCCCAGGTAAGTGACGATTTGATTAATTCGTGTAATGATAATGTTCCTAGTAGAAGCAGTTTATTGACAATTTGATACAGTCTGATTTAATGGATATAAACCCTACATTGTCGTTGAAGAACATAAGACAGACAAGTGCAAGATCACCCTGCAGTCAAAACACACTCAAACCACTACTACAGGAAGGACGTGCCCTTGAATATGAGCACAATGCAACGTTTGATCTTGGCTCATTCCGGTAGCTGCCTTGAGCTAAGAGCACATGTTCTGGAACTGCTTACTTAGAGTGGTATTTTGTGACTGGGATGTCGAATCAGACGGCAGAAACTAGTTCTCCGAACAAGCTAACGATTACAAACTCCAAAGCATACCACTTGAGCCTTTGAGCTTGAAGTGTATGACAAAAAGTCTACCAACGTAATATAACAAAAAATATACTCTATGGCATGATACTTTAACCTGCAGTGTAATGCAAATGTCAGAAACATTCACAAATTATGTAATTTGTCTTACCGTGCCGCTACTATTACGCTTATGTTTTTGCTCAGCCTTGTTAATAGGTACTTTCTTTCATTTTTGAAAAGCCACGATATACCTTTCCGCCCCTAATCAGCAAAATCCTTCACGATCAGAATATATATTCTCGCGGCGGACAAGGACTGAGATGACGTGATATCACCGTAGACGGGCCTCAGTCTGTATGTCTGTCTGCGTCTGTGTGTGTTAGTGCCCCGCGGGTGACACCTGACGCAAGCATCTCGTCTACGACGTCGGTTAGCTTGGAGGACACCGGTCCCTGCTTGTTTGGATGATTCCAAGCTGGGCGCGGCAGAACATACACACATGCGAGCACGACTTGAAAGGTCGCCGCTCGCTGAAAACCGCTAATGAAGTGCTAGAGACGAGCCGCCGGTCATCGGAAAAGAATGTCTGCAACAGAGGGGGTTAGGTGCAGTTAGCCTTAGGTAGTCTTTTTTTTACGTATCTAACAAGTAGAAGTGCAGACTAAGTTTGACCTCACGCTAAACAAGACAAGAGAATGCTACTTGTATAAATAATATTCGTGCACAAGGCCATTCAGTTCACAACTCCAAATTCTATTCCTATGTTCTAAGACTGGACAGGGTCGCTCCACGGCGCCGCTGTTTCGGATCTTTTAGTTTACCGGGTCCCCTGGCCCGCGCCGGCTGCTAATAGCTGCTAATGGATCGTGAGAAATGTGTACAGCAGTACACCGAATATGGACTGGCAGCTTATTGTAAGATCAGGAAGGAAAACCGTCTCTCCGTTGGCCTTACGAGTAGGTGACCTCTCGAATTTAAATTAACATCTGAACTTGACCTGTGTATCTCGGTACATTGTGAATGGGTCAAATTTTTTACCCCCACGCCCACATCTGGGTCCCGGAGAGGTCACCGTACTCGGTAAGTTTCCGGGGGTCACCACGAGGAGGTGGAGAGTCCGGACGTCCGTCGGCGCACCCGTGACCCGTGACACGTGACCGGGGACTCGCCGGTCCCCATCACGAGCCTCGTGCACGCCGTCGGTTCGACCGACTGCGCCCAGCTCGGCGCAGCCCCGACTGTCCGCGAATGGCGCCGACAGCCGGCCCATACAGGAGCGATGCTTCTGTTATTTATGATAGCTGGGAGGGAACTTAGAGCGCTCAGCGGTTCTCTAAATTTTGGGGGACAATGCACGCCAAGGATATATCGGACCAGGCATTGTCCAATCTCTGATGATTGCGCAAATATCTTGCTTGAAAGGCTGACCAATGATGATACGCACACCTTGCAACTTATATCAGCTATGGGAACCTTATGCGAAGTCTAGCCCATTCCCACATTGCCGTTTTTTTTTTTTTTTGACATAATGCTGAGCATGTTACCTGAGAACTCACACTCGCCATACTTTGCGACCGTTCCATGCTAATATATTTCAAGAGTAGCTCGCCATGTGCTATGTATTTGCTCCTCTGTCGTATCGGTTCTCAAACCATTACATTGCTCCATGCATCATTTGTGACCGGAAAGGGCTGAATGTTCCACCACTCTAGTACGCTATCTCATTACCGCCAGTAACAGTTACACCGGGCGTCGCGCGTACGTTCGAGAAGCTCGGGGAGGTTACATCATCCCATGTCCTCCCGAGGTCGACGGTCCTCCGTCACTCTCTCCCCCCCCCCCCTCTCTCTCTCTCTCTCTCTCTCTCTCACCGCTGCTCTACCTGCCGCTCGCGCCTCGCTGCGCCTCTCTCCCCGTGTCACGTGTGTGGGCACGTGAGAGTTTCGTGATGGGTCCTCTTAGATAGAAAGGTGGAGGTGTCTGTCTGGGGTGTGTGGGACGTGGTGAGGTGTCCTTTGCGTGACTTTGTGACCCTCCTTGTTCAGTTATGAGGACAAGATAAATGATAAGCCAATCTTTCTTAACCTTAAAGCTCCCGTCTCATTTAATTCCTGTTTGCTCAGCGCTCTTAGGTTGGAATGTATCTTGAGTTCTTATTTCGGGTTTTTATTTGCTTCGTCGAGTTTACTCTTTCGATAAATTTGGGCTCCTGTATAATAGCGGATACCAATAAAATAACTTTCAATGCAATAACTCGCTGGTTGTTTCCTGCTTTTTTCTCTGTTTTATCCCATGTTTGCATTATGTTTCCATCCACTGCTCGAGACGCGTTTTAATTAGGCCGTCGACCCGGTATGTAAACGTCTCTAGAACCGTCCAACTCTATGTAAATTGTAAATCGAGCCGAGTTGTTGGTCGGTTTGGTGCCGCTGGGAGCATTGGTTCATGCATGAGCGAGTACTGCTATACGTGGAAACTAAGCCGATTCTGCACCTGTTGAAGTTTCGCTGGGATGAGTGTCGTGTATCGAACGTCATACCAACCTGTTAGCTCATCTATTGAGCGGTTAATGCACTGTTACCTGTTTATTTTCGGCTGCTAGGTCTCGCGCCTTTCTTCAAAAGCGATTTGTTGCGTTTTTGGAAACGTGGAAAACCATTAACTATGCTCCACCCCCGTGTCATGATTCATGACTGCATTTTACACATTCGTGCTGGCTTTTTATATTTCGTCTACGTTTTATAGACACTGCAGTTGTTTACACTTAAAATTAATCTGTTGCACTTTAAGCACACAACCTCTCTTTGTCAATGCGGTACGCTTCACTTTTGTGTCACCGTTTCCGTTTTATTATACCAATCATCCACGCCGTCCCCACCCCTCATACACCGCTAATCTAACCACCCTGCTCTCTGTCTCCCCGTCAGGTGACCCTGGAGCCGTGGTCGCCCACTCTGTGCCCGTCGCCGGACGACAGCCCCATATCGCCGGCCTCCGAGTGCTGCTCTCCGGAGCTGGCTCCGGCGCCTGACTGGCAGCCCGGGCCGGCCGCCAGGCGCGGCGCGCGCAAACCGCGGCCCTACGACAAACCGGCGCGCGGCGGCGCGCGCCGACAGCCGCTCACTGAGGAGGAGAGACGCGAGAGGAAGAAGGAACAGAACAAGAACGCCGCCACTCGGTAAGGGGAGGGAGGGCGTGGGGGGAAAGTGAGCCTCAGAGGGAACTGGGGTTAGTGGTTGAGCTCTTTGAGGGGAGCGCTGGGATCTGAGTGCGGTTTCAAGGTTTTTTGTTAAGGGACATCTATGGAAAGCTAGTCGAAACTAACCCGTAACAGTTTCGACGGCGAACAGTCATTGGGGAAATCAAAAAGGGGTTAAAGTTGGCAAAGAGTAACACACTCGTGCTCAACTAGCTAAACACAGGAACTGACGAGCGGCGTGGGGTCAAAACAGATGGTTACGGGTCAATGGGGTTGTTAGGTTTACAGACACGAGATAACCGTTGGCGCGGGCCTGACGGGTTCATTGGGAACGAGGATAGGAATACTCAGAGCGTATTTGAGCCCAAACACCTTTCAGGTGCGCTGCTATTGCATCAGTCTAGACTCATTGTACTTAGCTGCTTAGAGTTGTGTACCCTTTGCCCTCCGTGAGCGTAAAACGGGCCTGTCTGGTTTTATTTTTGTACCTTTTGGTTCCTTCAATGGAAGGTTTTATTTTTGTGTTTAATATTCATTCCAAATTAGATGAAAAATTGAACTAGAATAAGTTGTTTGTTTGTTTAGGAACCCTCGCCGGTCTACACTCTGATTGTCTAGTCTGATTAGTTCTCATCTACATACCCATTTAAGCAATAATATATTTACTATCTTGCCGAAGACATATGTAACTCCCACCCCGAGCTTCCCTCCACGTGTTAGCGTGTTCCCTCTTCTAACCTCTGTTTCTCTTTCTCTCCCTTCTCCAGGTACCGTCAGAAGAAGAAAGTGGAGCACGACCTCGTCAGCGGCGATCAGGAAATGCTGGAGGCCCGCAACAAGGTACTCCGCGAGCGTGTTGGCGCCCTCAGCCGCGAGCTCAACTATCTCAAACAGCTGATGCGGGAGGTGCTGCGACACAAGCAGGTCTCCGCCTGAGCCTCCGAGGGTAGAGGAAGGAGAGAAGAGAGAGTGGAGAGTGAGGACAGAGAGAGGAGGGAGTGTGAGAGAGAGGGGCGGCGGCGGCGGTGAAGGTTTCGCCGCCCGCCGCCGCCGCCGATAACCGTGACTTAGTGAGGTGAAGGTGCGACCAACGAAGATAAACGGAGACAAACACAGGAGACCAGAGATGACCAGATGAGACAAGGAGACCGAAGGAGACCAGGAGAGACAAGGAGACTCAAACACCATCAGGAGAGGAGGAAGGGGAGCGAGCGAACCCCGGCGGTGACGCGGCCGCGGTAGGGGCGGACCTTATGACGGCCGCACGGCCCGATCTCCGCCGCCGCCGCCGCGGCCGCTGCCGCCGCCGGGCCGACCGCGCGGCGCCACTCCCGCCGCCGGTGGCTCCCCGTGGAGAGGTGGCGGCTCGCGCGCCGAAAAGCGCGCAAGCGTAGTGAGGAGGCGAGCGGACACCGCACGACGCGGGGGCCGGCCGGTCCTTCCGAGGGAGTCCTCTCGAGAGAGGAGTAGTCCTCACGAGAGGGGCGGACCTCGGAGGACAGAGAAAGAGAGTGCCCGTGGCCGGCGGAGGTGGCCCGCCCCGTAGTGTCACGCGGCGTTCACAATGGCGAGTGAATGTGGAGACTAGAAACATTACAGTGTCGAGGAAATTAGTGCTAGTTGTGACCGACTGTGTGCTTCAAATTCTCGCCCGGCGCGCGTTTCACCGTAGTGCTACATGTCTAGTGTTCAATGTGGGGACTCGTGGAGGCTCTCCCGAGTCCTGACGTAGGTTTAAGGTTTTCCGCTGACTGCGGGGTGGCGCCACTGTCCGCCCGGCGCGGGCGCGGCCCCTGCGCGCCGCGGAGTCCGCCCGCCTCTGCCCCCGACACAGCCGGTCGGTCGGACCGTGGGTCGGCCGACCGGCGCCCGCGCTCAGCGGCCTGCTCTATACACCGCCGGCTGGTGACTGTGTCTGTCACTGAGAGAGAGGAGGAGAGCGGCTGAGGGGTGCGGGACGGCGCGTGGGGGTTTAGTGTGCCTGTGGGCACACCTGGGCCCTGTTTCACGGCTCGCTTATAGCGGCTACTAGCCGCTGGTAGCGTGTCATGAAGCAGGTCCCAGAAATCACCCCACGCGCTAGCCCACACCTCCCCGCTGCTTATCCCTGGGAGGTGCGCCGGACTGCGGCGGCCGTGGCGCGCGCGCGGCGAGCGTGGCGGCCTCTGGCGGCGCCCGGCGGACCTCTGATTGGCCCAGACGCTGGGCGGGGCAGAACGCTGCCGGGGCCGCCGCCGCCGCCACCGGCGGACCCCGCCCCGCGTGCCGTCCGGCCGCCGGCGGACCCCGCCCCGCATCCCACTCTGGGTGCTGGCGGCGATTGGAGAGAGAGGAGGGGTGTGAGTGTGGAGATACAGGATACTGGCCGGTGGAACCGCTGTTTGAGTGGAGAGGGGGGAAGGGGAAAATGAGGTGGCGGACCACGGGAAATATGGAGAGGTACGGGGGAGCTCGATGAAGAGTAGTGCTGCAGAGAAAGAGGAAAAGGTAGAGGAGATAATAAAAGAGCGATGAAGATTGGAGGTAGGTGAAGAATGAAGACTGGGAGGACCACGGACGAGCCTGAATCAGGGTGTTGGCTGTGGGCTTCATGACGCGGAGTCAAATGGCTCATGTTTGGCTGGTGGTAACGCTGATTGAGAGGACCAGTGGTCAAACCATTACGTGGCAGGCTACGAGACGAACCAAGCCAAGACATTTGCAATCCTGGACGATCAGTGACAGGGTTTGGGTTATAAAACGGTGCTTGGCGTTCGTTTTTCACCGCACCTGTCGGTTAAAGTAGTGAGAACTCCAGGTCGAAACTTCACCAACCTCCCCAGACACTGAAGCGTAATCAACACGCAGACATCTGGGCCATATATGTATACATACGAATGCGTTCATCGCCACACACAAGCACCACCGCGCGCTCTCAAGGTCCTCTTACACTTCAGTCCCACGCGTATTCTCAGGGGCCGGAGGGAGTATTCAAACAGGCCGATTCGTTTCCCGATGCACGATCTTACAAACACTGGCAAGCAACTGCATCAAAGTACAGTCAACACAGATAAAATATCGGTTCTCAAGTCCTGAATATGTTCACCCGCCCGGGAAAAGATCTTCAAAATTGGTATTGTCCTAAGTAATGCACACAACCGATGACAGCGCTCAATAGAGCGACATCGTCAATGCACGTGCATAGATACCTAGCATCAAAGTTCCTCTCCTAACAGCTTTATAACTCGGCTATTAACAGCTATGGTATCGACGCACGGAAGACACCCACCCGCTCTAGTTTAATCCCTTAAGGTTCCCTATGTATTCCCACCAAAAAATACGAACACACCGAAAGCCACGCTTCAAAACCATCGTCTCGCATATTGCACCTGGACATGGCTGGCCACCCGGCGGTCATTCCGCCTACTTTGAGTGCGTCCCATCGTCCCTAGATAGCAGCACTACTTGGCCGCCGGTAAAACGCCGAAGTTCTGCCTCAGTTGCTCGAGGAAGACGAATGTGAGGATTGTCTGCGGACCGAGGCGAACAAAGGCCGGAACGTAGCCCTGAAAAAGAGCAGGCGTCAGTGTCTGTCCCCTCAAACCTGAGAGGAAATGCCAAAACGACATATCACGCTGAGGGCATTGATCTTGTGATTGTTGCAAAAACTGCGGAACAAATTATAGGAATTAGCGAGAAATTGTTACAGACGTTACGCACCAAAATGAGATCAAGGTTTGCAAGGCGGCATGAAGCATTTGCGCCTGAGAGCGGCATTAGGCTATGCATATTGCCAGTGGGCAAACTCCATAGAACCTCCTGACTCGAGCCTCACTCTCAATCATGTGTATTGTGTAACTGTGTTCGTCAATAGGCCTAAAAGGCTACGATATTAATCCACCGAAGTTTCGCACTTGGGTCGACTTGTAAGCGTAAACCGAACCAATACGGTAGTCAAAGTCACAACTGCCAACATTTCCAAACGTCTGAATTCTGGCGTGTTCCCTCGGGGAACGAGAGTGATCACAGGAATCGAGATCTAACAAGTCAACAGTTTGCACAGAAGGCCCCAGCGCACGATTCCGGCAGAAAATGAATAAGATTCGCAGAACATAACGCAACTCCCCGGTAATTGGAAGCGAAAGTAGATTTACATCGGGCTGATCAAAATGCCAAGTCATAGATCTCTGTATTCTCTGTATACGATATTATACAGAGGTCTATGGCGATGTACATTCAAACTACAAATATTTCAAGATTGTTCCTAGGAATAAGGGTAGGTAAGGAGTGTATTCCGACCAATTAGTGCTCCCAAAACGACTAATTGACCTACGAAGTCCAATTCACTCCGAAAATTAGACTGGAAGCATTAAATAGGATCATAAAAGCAGTCATACAGACCTTGAAGAATCCCAGTGGTCCCAGCTTGGCAGTGTGAGTGATAATGTGCCACATGCCCTGGAAAAGACAAACAATATCAGCGTTTCACTTCTTAAGGGTGAACCAGGTGGCATCAGTGATATTGTGTAAACGGCAACATCAACAAACAATAGTGAAGTCATCTAACGCTGAAAACTGTGGCGTCGCAAGCACAAGCATCGCATAAAAATGTCCCACAGTCTACATCGTGCGCGGTTATAGAAAAACGGCAGTGATCAATGAAGTTCCTGTCACTGCAAGCGTGCACTGCAATGGTCAACTAACATCGATTCTGCTCAACACACATTTGCATAAACATTACGAAATCGCCGGAACCATATCGTATCGCTAGAAATTTAAATATATTCCACCCATGGGCACGGAACACGCTTCTAGTTTGAAGCATCTCCTGATACTCCCCACGCATAATGCGAACAGTTTACGCAGTTTACGCGAACACGTAAACTGCGTGTACCTACCGAGAACTCTCCGGGCTTGGCGTTCATGGTTCGCGTCTTGATCACGTCCATTGGCTGAGTCATCGTGGTGGCGATGGCGCCCTGCGGACACGGGTCAGGTCAGGTCAGGTCAGTTTATCAGCCCGTATTGTAAGCCTTCCTCATGGTGGGTTTTACAGACTAGTTTTCCATCGACTGATTCAATGGGGCACCTATCTATATGACCCCCGAATCTGTGAAATCAAGCAAGGGTCAAGCTTTAGTCAGCTCATTGTGTACAGCAGGATCAGGTCAAATTACAATAAGCTTCAATTTTCAATGCTTATGTTGTAGCAGACCACAACAAGAGTTAAATATTTCAGATAGCTGAAGAAACACTCGACGTGAGAACTTTTCAGGGATAAAGGTTTTAAGAGACGTTTTATAATATATTTGAAAAAAGTTTGGCCCGTACCGCCATCAGGCTGGATGTGAAGTGGGTGGTCACGTTGTCCTCAAAGTAGCCCGTGCCGAGCAAAGTCTGTTTCACCTGCAGAACGAAAACAAATACGACAAACAGCCGTCAGACACGGTAAAAACTAACCCGATATGCGACAGCACAGTTACAGATACATGAGTACATTATCTAGCTCGCAGGAATCTAACAAGCGTATACCAGTCGTGCTTTGTGTTAAAACTAGTCCACAAAACGCTAGTAATGTGAAGATAAGTAAAACTACAGCCCCCATCGCAACCACCGAATGATTACGACACTAAGCCATTCGTTTTCCTTTCCCCCAAAGCTCATCTAACTAATCTCAGCCAATCTCATCTCAGGTCCAGCAGTTAATTTCCACCGTTTGCCGCGGCAGTGTCAAACAATTTTTCCGGCTTTATCCGAATTCCGAAGAGGTCGCAGAAGCTCAGTCTAACCTGATCGTAGAAGCTGAGCTGTCCGACCGTCATCAGCATGGCCCTGACGGTGGCCGAGGAGGCGCCGGAGAACAGCCGGTGCACGCCCTCCTCGCGCAGCACGCGGTACAGGCCGTCCACGGCGTGCTTATAACTGTGGAACAGGGATGGGGGGATAAAACACTGTAACTGCCGGAGGTAGTGAAATAAAGCAACCGGTACAGGCCGTCCACGGCGTGCTTATAACTGGCGGAGAAAGCAGGGGGGGGCAATAAAGCACGTGCTTATAACTGTGGAACAGGGGGGATAAAGAATGTGCTTATAACTGTGGGACAGGGGAAGGGAAGCGGCATAGACCGTCCACGGCGTACTTATAACTGTGGAACAGGGGGGGGGGGGTAAAGCATGTGCTTATAACTGCCGGAGGGGGAGGGGAGGCACGCAGTACAGATTGTCCACGGCGTGCTTACTGCTTGTAACTGCGGGACAGGGAAGGGGAACAAAGCACACGGTACAGAGTACAGACTGTCCACGAGGTGCTTGTAACTTCTAGGACGGGGGAGCGATTAGTTAAGCGGTCATTGACAGTGGAAGAGAGGAAGTTTGAGATAAAAGGGAGGGGAGAGAAGGAGAGACGAGATTAAGCGTAATAACACAACAATAACGAATGATAATAGAACGCATAAGCTCGTAGGGCAACTTGAATATGAAAACAAGCTCGTACCGCCTTAACGTTGAAAGGCATGGTATGATTTCATAAGTTATCACCGAATCATAATGCAAGCTGTCTCGCATGCCGTAGTCCCGTCTCATGTGTACACAACCCATGTCGAATATTACCAAGGTACTCACTTGCGTCGTTTCTCCGGAGCAATTTTAATGTCGTTCTGCATCCGTACGTTCACCATATCGGCCGGCGTACCTGAGGAAACGACATAATTCAGCCAGTTATACACAGTACGAATCTTAAAATACCGGATACGACACTCACGACGAGTCTTGTATAGTAGGTACAGGCTTTAACGATTTTATTGGCTTTGATAGTCATATGACAATACGTACTGCAGTCGTCTTTGGTAAACCAAAACGTGGCAACGACGAATCTTAAACGAATCGTAAGCCCGTTAAGTAAGTAAGTAGGTAAGTAAGTATGTAAGTAAGATAAATAAGCGTGACATAATGCGTGAACGATGCGAGAAGATTGAGCGAGAAGAAAGAGAGATCCAGGAATCTCTCACGCTTGAACTTCGCCGTACCCAGCTCCCCTTCTCCACATCCTAGGCCCTGTTTCACGGGTGATAGCAGCACGCTGCTATCAAATTGCGCGAGCTGACGTAATGTGATGACATCATATTAATGACGTTTCGTGTAATCCGTGAGCTTTTTCATAGCTACGTTTGGAACAGAGTTGCTGTGTCGTTGAATGCGTTTGATTTGATCGCACGGCCGTGAAGATGTTAGCAGCAATATTTGATGACATCACACAGATTGACGACGGCAAGGTTTGTTGATGTTTCCATGGAAACCCAATTTGACAAGTGTAATAGCAGCGTGAAACAGTGAAACTATCACCGGTGAAACAGGGCCCTGGACGGTCCGCGTTCACCCCAGGGCGCGCCCCGTCCTC